ATATATATTTCAGTGAAAACATACAATTTGTCTTGTTTGATTAGAATGTTTTCATCTAACCATCATTTAATGTTCATAATTATCCAATCACAACTCCAATAGCTACGCATTTTTTCTCAACTGCTTCAAGCAYCTTAAGTGGCCAATTATGAGTAATACACTCTCAAGTGAGATATTCTTTAAGTTAATAATGCTGTTTTTAGTGACTCAGTTAAATGAGACTCTGAATTTTGTTAAATTTTGTTTGGCTTTTATGAWTGCTTCTCATCAAAGTTGCCAGGAAGGCAAAAAGCTCTGGGTCGCAACAAACATGTCTTCATTAATTTAATTATTCAGAACTATGTTTTACTTATATTATGTTTTCTTTGAATTCTGGTATGATAAACCTTAGATTTAAACAATGTAAACAAGCAACTTTTTTGTTTTTAAAAAGCCTCAAACTACAAACAGATTTGTCAAAACCCATCCCTGGTCTCAACTATCCTGATCTCACCGCTGGGCCTGGGTATGGACTGATGTCACATCCTTCCTTCCAAGAAAGATTCAGGCTTCTTATGAACTCCAGGTAGAAAGGATGAGTCCTGTTCAGCATAGAGAATCCAACAATGTTGGACTGATCATTCACCACATCACTCATCTGAAGCAGAGGGAAATCCTGGAAACACAGAGAAAAAAGAAAAAAAAAGAGTGGAGAAGAGGAAAAAAAGAACAAGATTTTGTCAGCGATTTCTTTAAAAAAAGTTGGCACTCCGTGACAAACAGAAGCAACTGACTGTTCAAGACAAGAGCAGGAAGAAAAACTGAAACGAGTGACAGATCAGACACAGAAAAGGAAGACAAAGATTGAAACAAACAAACGACCTGATTGGGGTTTTCTTATGCAGGCTGCACACCATTSGGTTTTAAAATTCAGAGCAGGGGGGGAGCACAGAAAAAAAAGATGGACATCAAAAGCTAAGAAATTTCAAAGAACTTCAAATAGTCCTTGAAGACAAGTTGGTGTCACGCCGAGCTTCACTGCTTAAACAAACTAGAATCAAACTGTTTGCTCTGCCCTCACAAGGTTTGTGTTGTGCAGCAGATGCTGACAGTGAAATGTTTAGCTCAAGTTGTGAGCAATCCAGAAGGCAGGCAGGTGAAGCAAACACTTCACCTGCTGAAAACAACTTCAGGAATGCAGGTTGTCAGCAGCCATTAGGTCGAATAGAAAACAAAATGATCTTTACTTGTAAATTGTCTCCTGCTTYATCCCTTTTAACAAGTGTTTCTAACCCTGGAGTTCATTTTTTTTTCACTCAAAGAGAAACTGATGGATGCTTTTAGTTTTGTATTTGATGACTCACACTATTATTATCTATCACTTTAAATTTTGCCTGACTCTGATTTAAACTCAACAGAATCTAGATTACACAATGCATCTGTGCAAAACAAACACCAGAGTACAGAAATGTTTTTTTTTTAATTCTACAAACCTAAGTTTTATTATTCTTAAAAGTGGAGGAGGATTTTTGTGTTTTTGTATATTTATTTGTCTGTCCCAATTGCAAAACCTTTAATGAATAGCAATAAATTTCAATGCAAMTTTGTGGATTTACTAATCGTATTGACATGACAATTATAATGATATGGCCACCACAGCTGATAAAGCTGAGAAAACACAAAATGAAATGAGAAGATAATGTTAATATTTCTTTTCTATGTCACATATTAAAAAATAAACACTCACCGGCCACTTTATTAGGTACACCTGTCCAACTGCTTGTTAACACTTAATTTCTAATCAGCCAATCAC